ATATTTGAGTTAAAATGCGTGAGTTAAAATGAAGTATGTTTGTTGATTGTGGAAGAGATGCATGGAAGTCTTTTTGTAACCAACTGATACACTTTATACAGCATGTAAAGAAGGATGTTGTATTTGTTTTAAATAAAAAATAAAAAAATAAAAAAATAACCCTGTGTTTAAAGCATCAAGGCCAGGGGGTGGGGAAGCAACACAGGGTTCCCCCCTCAGTTATCCTGCTCTCAATTCTTTCACTGCAATTCAACTTTCCTTATTTTTTTTTGCTTTTTTTTTTGAGTCTTAATGTCTTTTCGGTTAAGCAACGGACAGGCAGAGGGGCATCATTGGTGGACAAATCCTAGGGCAGAAAATCAATTGGCCTTAATGTTGACCACACTTACATCTAAATTACTCAACTGAGTGTGGAGAGAAGAATTTTGGGCAGGGAGAGTAAATTATATAGTAAAAAGCAGAATAAGAGAAGATAAAAATTAAATAGTCATTGCCAGATATGGTCATCGCATTGTGGCCTCATCCATCATTGTTTCTCACTAAATAAGGATTTCTCACTCATCCACCCACCCAAAAATACACTTATTAATAGTGTACTTACGGCACTGTGGAATGTCACAATATTCCCAGACTGGTTTTTCATCTATTGTATAGCACCAAGGACTGTTTGTATCACCATCAGGATTTCTGCAGTACTATAAAGAAATAAAGTAATACTGTGTTTCCCTGAAAATAAGACCCAATTAGAAAATACGCCCTAGCATGATTTGTCCAGATGCTCGTAATATAAGACCTACCCCTCAAAATAAGCCCCAGTTAAAATCATCAGCCACATAGACGCATTTTGGACTGTATTTTCCCCCAAATAACTGGAAAATAAGCCCCCAAATTAAGCAAAAATTAATATAAGACCCATCTTATTTTCTGGGAAACATGGGTATTAATAAGACTGGACTACATTTAGCCTCACTATTTTAAAAAATACAGCCCAAGTAAATATTGGAATAATAAAATGAATATAGTTATGGAAATATGAGGTGAAATAGTAGTCATTTATTTATATATAGTACCAAAATGATATTGACTTGCTTAGAAATCATTGTCTGCCATTCAAGAGTGAACCTTTTTGCTACCTTCCACTTCTCCTATCAAAAACACAAATCTTTAGACTTCTTTTAGTAGCCTTAACCATAATTCAGTCACCTCAACTGTGTCTGAGTCTTGCAATGTCTCATTTTAAATTAGGTTGTACAAATAACCTAAGACACTAAGAAGCTCGTGATCCAGTTTGGTCTAGTGGTTAAAGCACCAGGCTAAAAACCAGGTCCCTGTGAGTGTCATGTTTTCTAACGCAACAAATTTTAGAGCAAGATATGGAATATTGATAGAGGAGAAGGGAAGGTTAGAAAAAGAAGAAATCATGTCCAAGAGCAAGAGATATTAATGGGGAAAGGACACTTTTATCATTCTTATCACAAAACTGAACATAAACTTATCCGATAAGATTGTTATTATTATAGTTGGTCATGCAGACAGTCAGATGTTTAGATAGAATTTGGCAATTTTATCTGCTTATCAAGACTGGTGGTATGTAGCAGATATTTCTGTGATTGTGTACAAGTTGCCTATTATTATTGGTGCTATCTTTGCTTTCTTTTCACATATAGTCCTTCTACTTCTATTTTCAGGTCTTTGTATTTTGTGATTTTTCTCCAGCTCTTTCTCTTCTCCTGTCTTCAGGTATTACTATGTCCACTATTCAGACACTATTTTTTTGTCTTTCTTATTGACAATTGTTAAATCAAGGGTCTAATTCTTGTGGCCAATGGTACTTACATTTTTCTCCAGTCCTGACATTGGGTGAGTTTCTGGTGTGAAAGAAGCTTGTCCATGTGATTGCCATTCTTGGCAGGTCTTACCATTCACTGTGGTTGCAATATGCCCACGATAGTCTCTGCCACTTCCAACCCTGCAGTCTTTAAAGAGAGAAAAGAATGAATTAGAACTTGCTATTATACAGGATACAGGGTTTATTTCACCACAGGCTGAATAGCCCTTTATGAGAAATTCTGGGAACTGCCATTGTATGTGAGGGAACAGGCCTGAGGGTTAATAGTTACTAATTTTACTGGTAGCCGTGGGCTGAAAGAAGAACATTTGAGGTATCTGAGGGCAAATGTTTCAT